GGGTCATGTAGAGGTAAAAAAAAAAGTTTTTTCTGTCAATGGACTCCAACTGATCCAGAATAATTTGCTGATAAATTTATCTTTTCTCCATTGAAATGCCACTGCGCATTTCTCAGTTGGCCACTAATATATCACTGAACTCTAATTGGTTTTATCTTTTGATCAATACTACGTGCTTTGGAGTTTAAGAGTAAATTTTAAAATTATAGTGCGAGCCCTCCTACTTTGGTCAACATTTTAGCATCGCTTTGAGTAGTCTATCCCTCTCCCTTCAATGTGGATTTGGAATAAACTTATCTGTATCTACCAGAAAATCCCATTAGGGCTTTGGTTGTAATTGCTTTATATCTGCAGATTCATTCAAGAAGAACCAACACTCTGAGTATATCAAGTCTTTCACGCCATGGATTGAGGATGTCCCTCTGGCTTTTCAGATTGACTGATTTCTTTCAACAGTATCTTATAATGCTATCATTTTTGCTTCATTTTCATAAATATCTTAAAGAACATGAGAGAGAGAGAAAACAAAGCCCATTATTCTTACCTAGATTATTTACTGTCATCTCTTCAAAGTTCACTTATTAATTCTCCCCTTACTGTTTCTACCAGTTATAAACTATAAAATCTTAAATGCTCTCTAATCCTCACTGGATGTCTGCATAGTGCCACCTTCCTTAGCTAAATACAATAGAAATATGTTGCTTTGCCTTTGCCCCAGGGCCATGGTGATGTCACTGCAGTGAGCTGAAATTCAGCTCTGCCTTTGTTATAGGTTATTTGGGTGTTATTTTCCAGGAGTCAAGCAGGATCGTGTATAGCAGCAGAGCCAGGAGCTGAGACAATCCTGCCTGTAGAAGTCCTTGACGATGCTCTGGAGCCAACATAATCTTGGGACCGTGTGGTCTCAGGTGTCCCTGTCACACCACTGGAAATATCTTTCTTAAAAAATTAACTTTATTGGTACGTTTCAGGTATACATTATGATCACATTCATCACTGAGAATTTGCACCACGGGAAATACATCTGCAGTCTGAGCACAGCTCAGTATTTGATTCCTTGAAGCCGAGAGAATTTTTCTGATACCAGTAACCGAGTTGGCTGCACACCTGCTTATCACTGTCCTCATTCACAGCTCTCCTTCTGTGGTTTGGCCTACACATCTTCTCCTTTCTCTCACCTCTTCTCTCCAGCGAGAGCACCCTTTGAACCTGCTTCCTCCCCAGTCCACTCAACTGCCCTCCTCACCAACCCCACCTTCTCAGGACAGTTCCAACCCAGCACCATTCCTTCTGGGATGTTTTCAACTCTTGCCATGCGTGCGTGAGAACACCACACTCACACATGCACAGAGCTGTGAAATACTGATTTAAAGCATTTATGTAACTCAGCACATTGCTGAATACCCAACAATAACTAAGGTTTATTGAGCGCTTATTTTGTGCCAGTCACCTCACCGAGCAGTTGGTTCACAATGTCTCTGAATCCCCGTGAAAAGCATGGAAGTTCATTACTCTCATAGTCTTTCTCTATCAAGCTCAAAATGAGGTTATTATCAGAGCTTAATGTCTCAGGATTGCACAGCCATCTGGTAAGGGGCAGATTTATTAAAATCTGCACCCAGGTCTATTGTACACCAGAAATGGTACAGAGCACCTCACCCAGAAGGAGCAGGTGAGGCACCAAGGTGAGTGTGTCTTCCCTGGTATTGCACATGGTGAGGGAGTAGGCTGCAAGCTCTCTCAACTCCAGGATAAGTCATTCAGAAAGCACGTTTCAAACAGGTCTGCTAAGCTGGGGGTGGGGGTAGCAGGGCTGTGACGGTGGCTTGGGCATACACAATGGAAGCAATTTTCCACATCTGGAAGCATTCTGTTCTCTTTCAGGTGGGGGAGCCTTGCTAATTCAGTCTTCACATAGATGGCCCCCATGGGTCACCACCCCTGTGTTCTTTCCTATTACACCCCAAAAGGCCACCGCTTCATCCTTGTAACTTAATGGTGAATGTTAATGTTTACATGCATATTCAAGTAATGCCAAAATTTCTGTCTCAATTCATATTAAGTAACTCTAAACAAAAGTTAGTTGTGAACAATTTTTTGTAACAACAATGTACTTGATGACACTTGAAAATCTATAGAAGTCCTGAAAGTGTGGCTCATTGTGAGGCCTCCCTTTGGGGGGTTCAACCCCCACTACTACCAAAAACAAAACCAGACAAAAAGAGTGAATATCTGCAAAACTGAAAATATAAGACTACATTTTAAGCTTGCTGTAGAAATGGAATGGCCTTGGCCTTCCATACTTGTCTGATCATAATAATTTTGGTGAATATGTATTGAAATGTAGGCTCCATTGTAGACCTTCAGGCCCAGGGACTCTCAGGGGGGTGAGCAGGAAGCCGTGGATTGGCCGAAGGGTTTGCCATGTGGAATCTTGGAGTGAGTCATACGGCAAGGTCATGCCCGAAGACATTTCTGTCCTCCTCCCCTACCTTCTCTTCTACCAGGCAACAATGAGCCGGGCAATGCTACAGGCTACAAATTCAAAGATAAGCAACAAAGCTCACCACAGTGCTAGACAATGCAACAAACAATTACATACAATGAACTAAGTGTTCAAGGTAGCATGGGAGAGCAAGCTCAATCTGATTATATTACAAGGCAGTGTTATGACTTGCATTTAGGTGTACCCTCAACGCCTCATGAGCTCAAAGGTAGGGCTTTTTGGAGGTTAGGGTTAGGGTGTGTGAATATGGATTAAGGGTTCCTTAGTCCACTGTTTGGTTTAGCATAGTTCTGGGCATGGATAATGGGAAGGTCCACTCCGGCTGAGGATGGCATCAACCAATAAGAGTGTAGCTTGGATGGGCTAAAGGGAAAGGAAGGCTCAATGTTGCTGCTTTGAAGCCTCCTGCCTGCACTGCCACGGACTGTTTCTCCTCTGTCACGACACCCTCCCTTGCGGCCAGTCAACTAGGGACTGAAACTTCTACAAAATGTGAGCTACAATAAACTTTTCCTCCTTTAACTTGTGCAAGTTGGGTATTCTGGCCCAGCAATAAGAAAGTAACTAATACAAGAAGAAATGTGTCATTCCAACATTTAAGGCAAACTTGACATCTGTGCAGCGTACTGATGGTTAGGGTTGAGATGGAAGCAACATGCTTGTGGGATTTGGACACCTTCTCAGGGGAGGGCAGGGGCTATGAGCAATGAGAGTACACAGCAGATGCTTGAGCTGGGCACTGCATCACGTGCATTCTATATGGAATGCAAAGGAAGTCTCTGGCTTTGGAGATGTAAGATTTGTACTCTCCCAGCAGTTGTTAGGGTGCGGCAAACTGAAAGGAGCCATTGGCAGGGTCTAGGAGGGAGGATGGTGGCTGTGAATCAGTGGGCCAGATGTTAAGAAAGACCTGAGGGTGGTGACTGCAGCCTTGAGCCAGGCTGCTGGGCAGTAAATGGGGAGGCACCAGATTGTCTGGGTGGACAGGAGTGAAGGAGAGCAGGGCCTGCAGGAGAAAGGCTCTCGAGGGCCTGGGCAGGCATTTGAACTTTGCCATTGAGAGCAGAAGACAGACACACTCCCTTGGTACTCAGTCTGTCAAGACTTCTCCCTTTTTCTTAAAACACAGCCTTATGTGTTTAAGAAAAGAGAATATAAGGAGAAAAACAGGAGAAGAAAAAAAAAACGAATGGAAGGAAAAAAATGGAATCAAGGTTTTTGTAGATAAAGAAAGGAGGTCCCAGCCCTGAGGAGGCTGAGGCAGGAGGATCACTGCGTGTTTCAGACCAGCCTGGGCTACATAGTGAGTTCCAGGTCAGTCTCAACTACATAGTGAGACCCTGTCTCAAAAAAAAAAAGAGGTGGGAGGTTGAAGGGAGGGGAGGGGAATGGGAGAAAAAGATATATCAAGTAGAGGTACAAATTACCCATGATGAATGTTATCACTACGTACATCTAAAATGTATCAGTAAAAATAAAAAAAAAAAAAAAAAGGAAAGGATGCTTCAGAAAAGAGCTGGCCCAGTATTGGTCAGGAGTAACTCTGCCTCCTGAAATGGCCAGATACAGAGGACACCCAGAGCCAGAGCCTCTCAGGAAGTCCATGTATATGCGCGCACACGTGTGTGAGTGTGTGTGTGAGTGTGTGTGTGTGTGTGTGTGTGTGTGTGTGTATACGCATGCATGAAACCAGTGGTTCCCTGGCATAAGCAACTCAAGAACATCATAGTTTCTCCAAGAGTCAAGGACAAAGATCTAACAACCCAAATGAGCCCTGAAAGTACTGTTGCTTTTGAAGAAACCCCTTCAGTTCTCTACTGATTTGATAAGCTGAATTCTTGTATAACATATATTGTATTACTTTCCTAACCCCTGACCAGAAAGACCAAACAATACTCACATCAACTGCTTATTTCAATGTCAAATGTTTATTTCTATGCCACAGTTGCCTTAGCACAATTTGTAAAAGAAAGGAATTCAAAAAAATGATTGTTTTTGGTCAGGATATTTTCTCTGCAGTTATAAGAAAGAAAATAAACACCTTGGTTCCACAATTACCATTTCTTTAACACCATTCTAGTGAGCTACATCTCCGTATTTCCCCTGGATGGTATTCCTTTAGGATGGGAAAATATCCACAGCAGAAAAGAGTTTGGATTCATGAAACATGGCATAGTCTTCTTCAGAGACTCTATCTTGAATGACTTGGGTTTGGTATACTCTATCACTAAAGGTCATATTTTTAATATGACAATATAATAGGCATACTTGATTACATAAAACAAAGTGTGCTAGAAATGAGCAAGGAGAGACAAACTGGAAATGGGTGTATCTCAAATCTTGGGGTGAGGAGCTAGGAGCTGGAGTGTGGGAAACACATCTTCATACCAACCAAGTTGGCTGGCAGGAAAAACACTCAGCAGGGCAATCTCTGCCTGAGCAGAAGGGCATCGGATACAACTGAAACAGCCTGGCAACATATGGAGTTGCTTTGTTTGCTTTTTAATAAAAAGGGATGCTCTGGTTTCTTAACTGGTTCCCACATTCGAGGGAGTTAGAACACGGCATCCACTCTTTAAATAGACTTCTCTTGACTGATCTTAGACTCAAATCCACCAAGACTCTGACAGCAGAAGTGGGTGCCGTGCCTCCGCCTGTGCAGGTGACTGCAGGGTGGCTGTCTCACAGACCCCTCAGCAGACACAGGGACAGAGGAGCGTTCTTTAAGTTCATGCACATTTTATTGAGTAGTAATATAAAATGCTTTTTCTTTTTCATTGTTACAAGTGCATGCTTTGATTGCCAACATTTCAGAAGTTAAATTACAAAGGCAAGGCTTTAGGCTGTAGTGAATTACTTGGGCACTTATACAATTTTTAAAAAATATGAATGGGCTTTTGCTGTTGTTGTTGTTTTCAGAATGAACCAGTTGTAACCGTAACTGATATACAAAGGGAAAAAAGTGAAAAAAAATAATAGTTTGTGGCACATGACAGAACAGAATGAAATAACTAAACCGTTATGATATCAACAGTTACCATGCATTTAGAGTTTCACATGTAACTACAAACTTATTAAATTTCACAAGGTTTGCTAAACATGCTAACCATCTATTTGTGCACTGACAAGCTTATGTTAAAAACTTTTAAGAATACTCTCCCCTTTAGATTTTTTCAAAGCTTTTTTGATTACAAAATTTCAAAGGCATTAAGCATTTTAGAGAATATAAAGTACGCCAGTATACATACATTTCCAGTATAGGGTCAGACCACTAAGCGCATTACAGTCCCATACAGGCCGAGACAGCCATTTTTTTTTTTCCTTAAAAAACATGCATAGGCAGAATTTTTTTTTTTTTACAGAATATAGATGCTTTATCACTGTACTTAATATGGTGTCTTGTTCACTATATTTAAAAATGCACCACTCATAAATATTTAATTCAGCAAGCCACAACCAAGACTTGATTTATCAACAAAACCCCTAAATATAAACAGCAAAAAAAAAAGATAGGTGTAATTATTCCAGTTTTTTTTTAAACTTAAAGAAAAGAAAAAGGAAACATACTCATTGCCAAATTAAAAGGTAAGTGTTACAATGGAAAGAAGGGCAGTCAAGCACACTAAAGAAACCTGAGGTAAGCATAATCTGTACAAAATTAAACTGTCCTTTTTGGCATTTTTAACAAATTTGCAACATTGTTTTTTTTTTCTTTTTCTGTTTTTTTTTAAGACTGCCTAATTCAGTTTAGAGCCATTGTCTGACAAGAGTAGCAAAACATTATCAATAAATAGTCCTTATTTAGTTTGTACATCATTTTTCTTAAAAATGTTTGATGTCATCCATTTTAGTGCTGCAACTGTAAACGTACAATAGAGTAAGAAATTAGACAAAATTTTCATGTCCAGTAACAGAATAAAAGGCCTTTCATGAACCTACAAGGAAGTCCCCAGTGCAGCAGGAAAATACGTTCACCCCTAACATTGCAGAATATACTAGCATAGCTTTCTTTTTAAAATTTTTCCCCTAGAAGCATTTTTAAAAGGCATACCCCAAAGAGGTGCTTAATCACCCCCCTCATCAAATATAGTTTCTTTTCTCTCTCCCTTTCCTTTAATGATCGTGTAAACGGAATCCAATGCCTGGCCCCCAGAGCACACAAGCTAAGTCTGAGGCAAGACACCCCCCTCGGGTACGCAGCAATCCCCATCATGCCCTGCAGCTCAAAAAAAAAAGGGGGGTGAGCAGGAGGTGGTCACTGAATATTGCTGCTGTTGCTGCCATTGCTGTCTGTGCCGTTAGTCTCTGAGGCGAGGGCCTTGTTGATGGAGTTGAGGTTGGCATCAGAGGGCACGGCATCTCGGCGGGGTGGCATCCTCTCGTTAATCCGGTCTAAGCCTTTGGCCTCCTCGAAGCTAGTGATCTTATGTTGGGGTGAGAATCCTTTGATAGCTACATGGAAAATCATTAAAAAAGAGAAGGTGGGTTAGCCAGGGGCGCGTCAAGAGCGCAGTGGCTGTGGCAGGGAGGTCAGGGACTTCGCAGTGGGTAGGAATCCTTTAGTAGAGAACAATGTGACGGGACCTGAACACGACACAACAGACTCCTTACCATACTCAGAAGTGACCAAAGGTTGGAAAACAGCCAGGCCTCTTGCCAACCAAAATGTCTTCTTGAAGGCACTAAGATGTAAGATTTCTGTGTCTTCATGAAAGTTTAGATCAAAGAAAGCCACAGGGAATAGGTAAAGAGGTAGGATACTTATGGGACAGGCCTCTGAAACCATCCCCAGCCCATGACCAGCACACTGGGCCCTACCCGGGAGATGGTGGCAGAACCCACTGGCACCTCCCATTGTGCCTGAAGCTCCTGCAGCCTCGGGGGTAATGTGTCTACCATCCTAGCAACAGGCTTGGAGCACAAGGCAGAGGGGCCAGAGAAGGACTTAACGTGGGCATTTTGTGCCATCTCAGGATCCCAGGAAGACCTCCTCATGGAACCTTTCCATGGCTCCCAGGAAATAGGAAATTATAGGCTCTGGCTTTCCCACTCAACTTTGAAGCCTGTGGAGTTCAGTAGGCAACAAGGTAAGAGAGACTCAGAAAAATCAGTATCAGATCACTAAGTAGAGAAAGAAGCATTGTCAGCCCTTCTGCAGTGAACAGGGCAAACTGATGTTCATCTGGTATCCATTGCAGCCGAAGTCAAAGGAAAACTCATTCTCAGGAGATCAATGAGTAACAGACACAACCACATAAGATGTGGTTAAAGAAGAAAAGGGAAAAAATATTTTCACAATTGTTGGCAAGAATAAATCAAACTAGTATGTGCCTTATTTAATCACATATGGATTTCTCCAAATGGGATACAATGGTACACGTATGGGTTGTTCTCTGGTAACCCTTAGCTACCGAGACAGGTAAAGCACTTGTGCAAGAAAATAGTTTCTCCAGTGAGGGCACCGAGCAGTGAGCTGCAAAGCAAAAACACACATGGGGACCAATGACATCAGTTTACCTCACTGAAGTGAAAGCCAGATAGTCCAGGGCCAATCAGCAATGCTGGCGGGCTGGGTGGCCCTGAGCAGTGGAGGGAATCGCATGGACCTGCATCCTCCCCACCTTCTCTGGGGAAAAAGCTAGAGCAGTTTCAAGCTGACCATTCCTACACATATGTGGGGTGCCTTTCACTGGTAAGGGTGAGAGGCTTAAAAGACAGGCACCAGGCTTCCAGAGCTCACTTAATAAAGATGAGAACAGACCGTTCCTCCTCTGCGTTTTAACAGTTGGCATCACGCTGATCAGTCAACTGTGAGAGGAAGATGGGGAGAAGGGGGGAAGCCCAAAGCCCAAAGCGAAGCTTCTTAATTCTTCTGTAATTCAGTAATAAACAAATTGCAGAATCATAGAGCTGTGTACTGAGCACCCACCCTGAGAAGCAAATTATTTTGAGGTACAAAAGAAGGGCACGAAGCTGTACGTTACTCTTCTTCTAAACGGTTACAAATATTTTATCATAATTAACACATAAAGTGTTCACCATTGTAATTTATAATGAAATTTTATCAATTTAAAATGGCACAATGGAATCTCTAGGTTTGAAGAGCCAATAGAATGGGGCATAGACATTACAAATCTACTACAAGCAGGGCCCTCTCTGGGCTGGGGCTCGTCCTGGGCACCTGATCGCCCAGTCAGGAAGAACAGGCTGTGCTGTAGCTGGTGGTCACACAGTGGGTATTAGCGCTGTACACTGGTAGTACACCACACAACACAGAGTCACAGAAACCACAGAAGACAGCCAGACTACCAACAAGAATGCACACTGCAGATTAGGATTTGCCAAAAGGAATAGAGATTCCCACATAAATAGCAGTTTGCTGACTGCTATTTAGGAAGCAGTTGTATTTTCTCTTACAGTGTGGACGTTTCCCCTCCCGCATCCAAATCAGGTACAAATTGCAAGTCTAAAGTGGCACTTTTTCCATCATACCAAAGGACCATATGCACGCAATTTTGGGAAGAATAAGAAGTTATCTTGCAAGAAAAAAATACAACTGAAGAATTTTGTTTTAAAGGGGAACTTCAAATTATTCTTTTTTAAATTTCCAGAGGATATGGTATGTATGATATTAAAAACCACTGTGGTATGCAGTTCTCTCTCAATCATGTGTTTAAAAAACATTCGGCTAAAAAAGTAGTTGCTAAGACTTCAAGTCTCACATCCTTGTGCAGTGCAGGATGCAGGTGCTGACTTGGGATTCTTGATTTCCCCTGCAGGCCAAGCGGGTGTCTGGGGCATAGCAGACACTTGCTAATTAAGTGAGTGATTGCTTGGTATTCACTACACTTGTCACAGGCCACTTCTACCACCACTAGAAACTCTCGGACTCCTAATATTTTGCTGGCACCATTTGTCCTACAATCACCAATAAGTTCAAATTGATAAGGCTAAAATAACGATCTGCACACATCTGTCTCATGTTTTAATTTTTAAAAGAGACATCAGCTAATATTGAACCACAGCAAAGCACTAATCAAATAAACTTTTTTTCTTTTGCTACAAACTTCTAAAGAGTAGAAATCAATAAAGTTATTTTTATGCTCTCCTTCTCAGTGTTGCCTGGAAGTGATCTGAGGGAGGGACATGGTTCAACTCAGCTCAAAGAATATCCCTTATGTGTTTTCAGAATGGCTGCCATAACCTCCACCCCATGTCACTGGAGATCTATAATGCTTTTGTTTTCTGTGATTATGCTAGGTTCATCGTATACAAAAGTCAAACATAGCTTTAAGGGAAAAAACAAACAAACAAACCATAGAAGGACATTTTCCCCTTTAAAGCAAGAACATTTTGGTTAATACTGAGCCACAACTGTTAGCCCAACACCCACACACTCTGTACAAGCTACAGCAAAAAAAAGAAAAAAAGAAAAAAAAGAAAAAGAAAAAAAAAAAGAATACACCCAGCAGAGCCCTTGTCTGTTGCACGTACAACAGAAAGGGGCCTGGCCAATTTACCTTCATCAGCCTCAATAGCCTCAACAGTAGCTGAAGAGAAGAAAGGGTGCAAATGAATGAGAAAAATGAGCAGAGGATTCTTAATTCTAAGAACAAATCATTGACGATCAAAGGCTCTAAGAGAACTAATGTTTCTGTAAGTGCTGGATTCGAGCACAGACAACAACACACAAATGCTAAAAAGGAAAGAAAAACACCATGAAAAGTGATATGAACTGGATACATCTAGGCAAGGAAACTGCTTGAGTCTGTGCTTGCTACTTAAGTGTCAAAGCAATGAACTCTTTAGGAAAGCACACAGTGACTTTTTTTCCCTGAAGCATGCACTGAACGAACTGACGCGGGGCTATGGAAATCTTAAGTGTGTTTCTGACTTAAAGAGGACTATGAAAGCTATGCTCTGCGTGACTATTTCCAGTGTCACACTGCCAGATCGAGTACAGGAGTGGAAGCAAAGCCACCCCAGCAGGGTCATTCACACTTCTTAACATAAAACTGCATTGCTTTCGAACCTGAGGCCAAGGCAGGTGGGCCAATGTGAGGAAAGTTAGAGTCAGTGTGTCTGACTTCATAACGCATGGGACTCTTGAGAGACAAACATATGGGACTGGGGGTGATGACGGGGTGCAGGAGAAAGGAAAAGGAAAGTAACTTGATGCCCGAGTGTGTGTGTGTGTGTGTGTGTGTGTGTGTGTGTGTGTGGACATATATAATGGACTTTTTTTTTTCTGCCAGGCAGATCAATTTAAAATGTTTCTTTTCTTTATTGCAATATCATTTTTGGAAATTAAATTCTTGAAATGTCATAGATAAAGAGGTAATGTGACAGTAGCACTGATAATCATACTAGGATTGTATAGAATAGGGTGCCTCGATACTGAAACCCCATTCATAAGATTCTGTAGATATTACTGAAACAGTGTATTTTAGAGGCAGAACTGTAAATGCCTACTACGTTATCAGCATTCTGTATAACAAGGTTAGGATAGTATTTTCACTCTACAAGTTATGTGAGTAATGCTAGTAGATATTTCTCTAACACTAAAATGCAAAATTTCCCTGTAACTCCAGTACGTTCAATACTAAAATTCTACCCCTTGACTTTAATTTGCATTTTTCTAATAATTTAAGGTTTCATAACTAGAGCAACTGCCAAATACTATAAGTTACTTACAGTGCATGCTAGGTTCCTTGTGACAAACAGAAAATAGTCACTCCAAGGAGAAAGCTAAAGAACAAGGCTTTGAGCAACTTCCCTTTTAGATAAGTGGAAAGGTCATGAATTCTGAAGTTGCGTCCACATGTGTGGTTTCAAACAGATCCTACATTTTCTGATCCTTAGGAGAAGCAAGGTCCCCATTCACATGACTTCTATGTGTCCGTGTGTGGATGTGTGAGTGGAACACAGAGGAACACAAACCAGTACTTTATTTAAAATAAAGTAAATGAAAAGAAAAGTAAATAACTGAAGTTAAAAACACAGATGAAAAAAAAATCTGTGAACACAACAAAGAGTAGAGCGGTGAGAACATGAGTAACCCAATTTTAAAGAAAAGGGAGAACTCTGGAACCTCAGCAGCACCGACACACTGCATGTGCGTGCTGCCCGCGGCCCTCGCGCCCTGGGCGTGTGTCCAGTGACACAATTCGCTGTACCTCTGCTGCGCTCAGAAACTGAGACCTCAGTCAGACAGAGCTGCACCCTGCGGGTGATGGGCTATTTACGGTAAGAAAGGTATTAGAGTCATTTCTAGCTATAAACTTAAAGGGAGAAAGCACTTTAACGCAATGTGTTTTCTTATCTTCGTTTAAGATTTTTGAATTCCATGAGAACTCAGAGACTCTAGCTTTAGAGTAAATTCATTGAACATTAAGTCACTGCGATGCTGCGGGCATGTGATATTTCAGCAGCACCATTCCCGGGAGCTTGACCCTTACTCTTTGCACAGAGGACGTGTCTAGATCACGTGATGGTAGAAACGCCAGAATCTTCTAGGATGGAGGACAGGGATGAAAAAGAAAATATGAAAAAAGACTAGGGAAAGATAAAAGAAAATAAACAGGAGGCTGATTTTGTTTCAAAATGTTGCAGTGTCGTTTTAACATATTTTCTGGTGAAGTCTAATCTAATAGCAAAATTTTCCCAGGGTTAAAATTATAATCTAATGACAACACTAGTTAAAACTGGTAACAAAAACGATAAAAGTGAGAGGGCAACCAGTGCTGCCTAACACAGCGAGCACCAGGCAGACGTGTTCATTAAATTCAGTGCTTTTGCAGTTGCCTTAGCTACACATCAGCCAAATGCTCAGTAGTTATTCGTTGCCAGAGGCTCTGTGGAGATTTATAGAAATTTCCATTGTCACCAAAGTTCTGTTAAACAGCACTGGTCTAGAAAGCTACAATTCTAATACAAAATCTCTACGTGGAAGGAAATATTATTCTTTTTAAAAACAAAATGCGTTTCTTCTTACACTTTACAAGGACCATCAGGAAAAACACAGGGCTCCCAAGTTCCATTCAAGAGGACAGTGGAATTAACCTTCCTATATTTTGTTCTCCAATAAATCCAGCACTGTGCTTGTGCATGTGTCTATCTGCACCTTTGCCTTTCATCAATCAATGAATATTTATTAACGTGGAATAGAAGGGCTTTTGGTGGCTGTTCAGCTCACAGTAATCAAACCCATTGTGAATGAGGCCACCTGCAGTCCTGCTGGTAGCCAGGCAAAGTGCAAGTAAGGGGCTGAGATGCAAACCAGGGACCGATATGCAAATGAGAGTCCGGGAGCCAAGACCATGTTGCAGTGGACAGATGCCAGTGTCTCCGGCAGGCAGGGCTAGTGGAGGTGGGGTGATGTGCAGCTTTCTTCCCGCTAAGCTCCAGAGATAGGACTGGCCTTCAAGAAAGCCCAGGGGAGGGCGCTGCCCGGGTACCCCTGGGTGCTTACCGCTTTGCAGGGTCTGCTTGCCTCCCGAGAGCACTCCACTGGGCAGCATGCCGGTGGGGGTCAGGCCCTTCAGCGTCAGCACGCTCTCGCTCTCCTCTCTGCAAGGCACCCACAGGGCAGCGTGGTTATTTAGCTTATGGAAAACAAAGAACTCTGAAGAAAACATGCAAAAAAACAGAACCCATGCGTTCCTCTGGATGGGCCCTCTGGACCTCTTTTTAAACCTAAAACGTGCCAAGTGTGTGTGAATTGTGCAGAAGTAATATCAAAAGCCTGCAGCGACAGCAGGGATCAGCAGCAGAGTGGGCCCTGCCCGCAGCGTGCATGGAGGCGACGGAGCTCCCCCCGCCATCCAGGACTGGCAAGGACTTCTGACCTCACACGGGGGAGACACAAAACGACAGCTTCCGGCCTAAGAAGCAACAGGTAGAATCCCATAGAAGTCTTTTTGCCACTTTCCCCACTGATTCGCTAATATATAATTATTTATGATTCACCGTGACAACTCTTTTACAACCATTAAGTGCATCAGCATCTCAACTGTGTTTACTCACCATTAAACACTTAATCATTTCGATTTGGGCATAGAATCTAATGAGTAAATAAACGTGACCTCCTATCTTTCTATACAACAAATACTGCAATTTTATGTAAGCAGAAAAATTCGTAATACATAAATACACAAACATATATGGATATATATATTATATTTAATATATAACCGTCCAACAATTTTATCTTTAGTAAGTCTGAGAACCTGCTACTTCCACGCTTTGTTTTCAATTCAGAAACTGGAAATTCTATCTTCTAGTTGATTAAGCTTAACTGGTAACTCCTTTCCTTCTCTCCTTCTCTATCCACTCTCTTGCAAATCCTGCTGTTTCTCTCCTCAAAATGTTCCCAGTCTCTCCGCTCTCTCCCGTCTCCTTTGGAAACAGCTTCTCCGAGATGCGATTATAACATGGCATACAAGTCCCTATCTACAGTTTACAATGCGGTAAGTGTTTTCTGCACTTTCAGAGTTGTACAACCCATTGAGGTACATCCCACCACCCCGACGGAAGCCTGCACCCACGAGCAGGCACCCTCACGCGCTGGGCCCAGGGAGCTCCTGGGCTCCCTTCTGCTCTCTGCTCCAACATGGCCTTCGGCTGTGGCTCGCGGTAACACTGGCCTTCTGCACTCCCTCTCTCGCCCGGTGTCTATTCCACTTGTGTCTGAAACACTTATCACTGGGGAGTTTTCTGTTTATCTGTTTGACTTTGCCTTTGCTGGGCCTTGGCACGCACCCAGGCCAGGCCAATTCATGAGGGTGGGGGTGGGGGGCCACTGCCGTCTCTGGGGACTGGCACACGAACCACGCTCCCCAAGGGTGTATTCAGAGTGAGCAAAAGCAAGCTTGAACCCAACAGGCGGCATCATCCACATTTTAGACTTCTGCCCTCTTCGCTGCTGCGTTTACCTTAATATGTGAGGTCTGTGGTGGTCAGTTAATTGTAGCGGATGGGCGGCATGTATTTCAGCCTGCAACTCTCAGGCTCCTACGGACCGAGCACTAGGGCTGCTGTAGGAAGAGGTGCCTAGGGTGGGAAGGGCCCCTCTGCAGCGGAGCACAGCCCCTGCACACCGGCCCCTGTAGGCTTCTCTCCTGCTTCTGCCACTCCGTCCTGAGCGCAGAATCTTGGTGTCAAATCCCGTCTGGAAACGGGCAGCTCGAACAAAATGAGCTAAGCCCATCAAACCTGGCGAGCTGCTGAACTGCTGTTTTTTTCAAACCTACAAAACATTTTCCAGTAATGTGTACTAATTTTTTTATAAAACTTACTGTGTACCACAATACAAAGATCACTATGGGAAATCCCATGACTGGGATCCCAGCCCCCGGGGTTAAAATCAGAGTCGACAGAGCTGCAGCTTCGCAGACTTCGGCTTGCTGTTCCGTAAGTCACGTCCATCGCTACACCATTTTCTTGGGGATTCAGTGATGAACTGGACGACGGTCATTTTCCTTCCTTATTGCCCCTTCCCGTCTTCACTCATCTCTCGCCTCGGTTCCGACCCCTCCTGCCTCTCGCAGAGGCCTCCAGAGGTTTCTGAATTCCCAGGACTCTGCTCCATCTCATCCACACAGTGCTTGCTTCCCCGGACCACACCCTCCTTCTGCAAGAACCCCTGGCCCCGTGACAACCCTTGAACACCTCTGGGCCCTGGGTCCCTCCACTTTCAGCCCTGGCCACCGCCAGCAGGGCCGGCGTGAGCCTGTGTCGTAGTGCGAATGACACCAGCGTTCAGAGACTCAGCGTGGACAAAGAGGACGGAGAGTCTTGTTCAGAAGCACTGCACTGATTACAGGGACACACACGGCTGAGCTCCAGGGGTCCCTGCTGGCTTTCTTCCCTTGGTTACTGTGGCTCCCGCAGCACCTGCAGTGATGGAGACGGCTGCACCCTTTCTGGGGAGGCGCTCCGGAAGGAGGGTAGGTGTGTACGTGTCTCTCCCCCTGCTCGCACTGTGCTTCTGCCCACCCATCCTCCTCTGGCCCTCGCCTCCCCAGCTGCCTCTCCTGAGGGAGGGTTCTCCCGTCTGTTCTGCTGTCCTCTGGTAAACCCAGAGATGCGGAGATGGGGCCACGACTCGGAGACAGCAGCACCTGCACTCCCCCTCCAGCGTGCCCCGTCTCCCCTCACACGTGCTCGTAGCCAAAAGTGGAGCCCACACGGCGGATTTTCACAGCAAGGTGGTGTCAGGAAGGTGAGAGAGCTCACGGGTTGGATGACCGGACGGAGCACCAGAGCTGCTGCACACAGCCTGTCGCCGCTGTGAATCACTGCCTGTGCTTCGGAGCCAGCCCTGGGCCACACTGAGTGAGCACCTGGCCCCCAGAAGGCTGAGTGGGAGCTTCTGACTGCAGTGATGCGACGCGGCCCCCAGCTGTGCTTCTGAAGATGCTCCTAACAGGTGACACGGGTGGCCCTCAGCTGCAGCGCACTAGAGACAGCGCTGCGGTTCCCTCTACTGTTGCAGGTCCCTGGGACACCAGGAGCATGCGCACGAGCTGGTCCTGACATGTCTGCACCCCATCAATGCTCATCCACTTGTGGGTTTGTTGTTTTTGGTACCGGGGATCGAACTCAGGGCCTTTCGTTTGCGAGGCAGGCTGATCCCGGTCTTTGGTCACCACTGGGTTCACACGGTGCACCACTGATCCGAGCACAGATATGTCTCAGTACACGGAGCGCTGGCGGGCCTGCACGACTGCCACCTGGTCTCCTTGTTGGTCCTCAGGACTGCTGCGTTCTCTTCTACACAGGCACTCTTGCTGCTGCTCCCTCTCCTTGATCTCACCGTCCTTCACGGCCATCGCCCTTGCTCAAGCGTCTGTGCTGCCACCCGGTAAAATAAGTGCGTGTCTCCTATTTGCTGTCCCCATATTGCTGTATGCTCTTTTCCTGGCCATGACTACGGCTTTAGCTTTTACTTTAGTTATTTGCTGCATGCATGAATGAACCCTAAAGGAGAGCTGAGGAAGGGAGCCATCACAGCAAGGGTACCTCATCCACTGAGCTGCGGAGCCGGATGCGCTAACCCAGCTTTGGTGGGGCACATCAGGCTGCAGAGTCTGCGCTGGCTTTGCCTGGTGTGTGACAGCGGATGGTGGCAGCTTCTGTCCTTGTCAGGACTCCCTGCTTTCTGCAAGGGTCACTGAATTACTAGTCAGCGATGAGCAGGCGTAGGACGGAAACATGGAAAGGGGAAACCGGAGAGGCACCATGGCTCACTGTGAGAGAGCACGGACGCAACGATGTGGCAGAATTAGATGATGAAACTGTCCAGTACGTAGAGAGGATGTCTCCTGAAGTGGTCGCACTTAATACCTGTTACTGTGTGTTACTATGAACGTACTGCACTTCTTCCATATAAGCACTCTTTAAAACAGAAACATAACTCATGTGCATCATCACTTTGTGGATCATCAAACTTCAGTAAAGTGCAGTGAATTCTAAGAATTTCTTTTCCCAAAATCCAAGTTTAAGCATCATTCATGATGTGCTTCAACACACACACACACGCGCGCGTGCCAAAACGACTACATGGCAACTGCAATGTTAGTGAAGTTTCCCTCTTTCAGTGATTTATTAGAATAATATGCACTCATGTGTACAGCTTTATGGTTTATGCTCACTTCCTAGAAATATGGCGCCATGTACTTGAACTCATCTTTGACCATAAAGCCAAAATGAAAAATAGAAAGGATTATAATAGCTTTCTCCATTTCATAAGATGTGCAACCGATCGTAAAATAAATGTTTTAAAATCCCATGGCAAAGAGAGGCACAAGATACGGTGTGATATTTACAGACATTTTCCTTCACAGAAATAATTTAGTAGATTGCAACATCACTGAAAGATGAGGAACTAGGATTCCATTTAAACAGAGAGAACTATTCGAGAGAAGCAAACAGGGTCTGATAAGCTGTTCATGTTACTGATTAAAGCATAGTGAAGCCCACTGAGTTGGCCCAGCAACATGCAGAGCAAGAGAGAGGACCGGGCCCCACCTGAGAACTGAGAACACCCTGGCCATCTTCCCAATGGCGCGGATCTTATTCCGGATCACCTCCTTCCGGGCTGCGGCTGTCGCTCCTGTGTTGGAAAAAGAGTTGGGCAATCAAGGATTTGTTATCAACTTGTGGTTACCTGTGAACCTACGTAGGAGAAAAACAGTAGAAGAATCAGTCTCATTTCTCCTTCAAGGGGATTCATGTTTAAACCCAACTTGAAAAGCTAAGCTCTTGGCCATCTCCGCCTGGGTGTAATTCTTCAGGCGTCTCCAAAACTAGAGTAACTACCCAGAATCCCACGGGGTGGGGCGGGTCTGGAGCCAAGGAAATGGAAGCCTGAGCTGAGGAGGGTGGCGTTGGCCCTTCCCTGACAGAACTCTTGCTGCAGGGGAGTCAGGCTGATCAGAGCCTTCCCCCATCCCATCCACATGCCAGGAAGACTGCTTCGGGAAGGCAGTTCACCAAAATTCTTCCTAAGGTCATCGAGCTAGGGAGCCTCTCAACTCCCCACACTCCGTGGAAGATCATCTCTAAAATTTACTGCCCTGAAACATTTCTCTCAGCACTTGACACACTTTCTTCTGATTTGTTCACAAGTTCTAGAGGAAAAGGTACAAAGTGAACTAGGTTTAGCACAAGACAGACGCATTACTCACATTAAAAAGTTACGTGTGGATCTTTACCACGTACAGTGTAGAACATTCCTTTTCCAAATGAAATAGAAAAATTAGTCTATGTAGGTTATTTGTATTATATGTATTTTTCCTTTTTAAATCTTATGATACTATATATGATCTTTAAAGAAAACATTTTGTTTCAATTCTCAAGATATATTTGGAAAATACAAAACCCAGATAAGATACATCTCTTTATAAGATCTTTACAATCCAAAGTAAAATAGGAAAAGATATCCCTTGAATACGTTACAAGACTTTGTCCACAGTATTAGCACCACCTGACTGTTCTTCTATTTCACTGCCTCTAACTGATACTTGATAAAACATTTTTTTCAGATAATATCGGCAATGCCTTTTGTCAAAAAGGACAATTTTCTTCACATAATTTCCTAGGACTAGCGTCTGTAGGAAATAACTAGTGTGTGTGTTGGTCTTTTAGTCTGTGCGAAGAACAAATTTTCTGACCTTTTCTGGAGGAAAGAATCCTGCTGTTTCTTTTGGGAGGGTTTTATGAATGTAATTTGGAACTCTTCCCTGTTTGATAAGGGTCAATGAATCACTGTCCTAACATTCCGGCAAACAAGAAAACTTCCAACAACGCAGGTGGGGGCAGCTCGGAAGCAGCCCACACTCCTGCCCCTTCCCCCCTCTCTCAGGCAGCTCCACCAAGGCAGGCCCCTCCCCCGACATCTGGTGGGCAGGACTTCCTGCTGCCGCTGCTCTACCTGCACAGGGCAGAGGAAGGGGGCATCTGTGTGCTCATGGCCTTTCTCTGGCTCGGCCTCTCTGACCAGCAAGCAGAAGCATGTGCTTTAACTGAGCTCCCTGGAGGGAAGCTGAAGGGTGTGTAGGATCCCTGCATTAGTCCTTCCTCCGAGATTCCAGCAGTATTCGTCATCTCTCATTTTACCTTAGCAAAGATGTAAAGTAGCCCAATAAATTGTACAGATTAATAGGTAATTAAGTTTAAAGGAGGTAAACGATATCAGGAGGGAATGGAGTTCAGATATAGATGTCCCGTTGTACTTAGTATTGCTAACTTTCAATTTTAGTATTTTCTAGAGATTAAAGTTCTTTTTGGAAAATGTTCCACTGCAAGACCTCAAAGTCCATAACTAAAAAAGATCAAGGAAAAGAGGGTGTCTTCCAGAACCTTACTACCTGCAACACACAGATATAATGTCACACAATATTCTCAGTCTGCTTAAGTTATGCTGATGTACTGTGGTAGCTCAAATTAAAATTCAGATATTAGGGATGAAGACACAGAAATTAATTTGTATATAAAAACTGTGGTAACTTCTTTTCACTGAAAAGAATACAACATCTTATTTTAAATTGTGAGCACAAAATTGAAAGCAACTATCCAGCCTGTAGCAGTCCAGTAACAGAAAAAGGAAACCAGGGAAGACTGTCACGTACAGGGATACATCTCATAGCCAAGTACCCCAGGGTGCCGGAAGTCAGCGGGTGAGCAGGTGCTGAGTGAGCCCTTACCAACTCCATGTTCACACTGGGGGCTTGGACACAGCCACAGTGTAAGAATTTATGTCCTGGAAACTGGCAAGAGCTACAGTCCCAGGCCTTTCCCAACAAGGACGGGCTGCAAGGCATTTGGGACATACACCACCCAAGTAGGTGCTCACTGCTGGCAAGGAGCAACAGGACTCTCTGAGATATGATGGGGGTGGATCTTGACAGACCCTGCGGGAGAGGGAGAAGGAGCATCCTCCATGGGGAGGCAGCGATGGGCAAGTTTGTGCTGAGTGGAGTTTGATCCCTGGGAATGGGGAGGTCCAGAGATAGAAGAGGAAATGCCTGCCTGGGCTGTCCTTTAAGGGCTTTGGCAAAGCAAGACATTCAGACAGCAGGAGATGCATGACAGAGAGAAGTAGAACTTACTCTGCCAGCAAAGACAGAAAGAAACAGTGGCATGAATGGATCAGTAGAGAGATGCATGATAAAGCAAATGTAATCCAACATTAGTTGAAGAAAATTAAGAAAAGGTACATTGGTGTCCACTTGTACCGTTCTTTGGATTTTCTGGTATGTTTGAAACAGTTTGCACTACAATATGGAAAAATGAAACTATGCTTAGAAACTTGGTTGTGAAGGGGAAAGAGAGCAGCAGCTGTGGGGAGAGGGTCTCTGAGTCCCACTCTTTCGTCCTAAGAGTGGGCAGGAGGAAAACTCTCATCTTCCCCAGCAGCTTCAGGAGGAAGCCAGGCTGGGGTGGTTCGCTCTGCCTGGTCCACCTCACAGGATCTAATCCATTCATTTTCACAGCTCTAAGAGAGGAAACTGACCAACTACATGGAAATTTCATACTCAAATATCTTAGAAAACAGAAATTTTCATATTACTAGACTCAGAGAGCTGCTATTAAAGTTAATTATTGTTATTGAGTATTCTCTGGGATGGAAAAACTATCAGCTCTCTGCTTCTTCTTTATTATACTGGCCTCGAATCTTTTGCTCTTATCTAGGCTTCTGCCTTTATAGGACTTGAAATAATACAACCATAGCCATAAAAGATATATTTGAATAATGTGCTGCACAAAAATATACATTTACACTACCATCTTATAATTTTTCAAGTGACATAGATTCCAAAATATATATTATGCTAATAGTTCTCAAATTCTTAAATTTTAAGAAAACAGTAATTTTCTTTTACCACTCACTAGTCAACCAAATTTGTTAAAAGTTGAAGTTCATCTCTGAAGCAAATCAATTCTATTTCAAAGATCGCCATTAGTAAGCAGAGTTCAGACACAGCTGCAGATTTTATTTTTCCCCAAATAGAACAATTACTGAGTATGAATGAAAGCTACTGATAGAATGAAGCATAAGATGTTGAGATAACAAATACCTTTGGTTATGTTACACTAAAAAGTAAAATGGGTTTAGTTTCTATCCAAAAGCAATAGCTCTGAAATGGTACAAAAGGGAATACGACTACACATGCACTTACTTGATGCAAATTATGAACACTGTGTGTCTGATTTGAGTGAACATGTCCCAAATCCAAGCTAAACCATGTATTATAATCCTTAAACCTTATCCTCCCTATTGTCTGGTCCTTGACCGAGTTTAGCAGTAATACGCCCTGTACATCTATACCAGTAAGGTTAGCTCTCGAAGTCTCCTTCACATCCATTGGCTTTTGTGCAGCCTGTGAGCTGTGAGCAGAGCTTCATTCCATTTTCCTACATCACCAGGGTCCTGAGGGGACACAGAGAGGTGTCACAAACACTAAGCAACCAGGTTTATTCAGATGGACTTGCTTCCAAACTGTGGCCTCTACAATTTTTACTCAGCTCCAAAGAAGATTCCTCAATGAGTCTGATTCCCAGCTTCAAGTTTAAAGAGTGGTAAAGAATATAACACTGTTAATGCATTGTTGTTTAAAACAAGAGGCCTATGTTATTTTCTTGCCTACTGTGTTTGATATTAGTAATTTAATCTCCAATAACATCTATTCAATGAAACATCCATGGACGAGATCCTTACTGATGTCTGTAAATCTTTTTATCTTTTATCTTTGAAATTGTATTTCCATTTCAGTGTTCTCGATTTTACTCTAATGCAGTCAACATTTAAACTTCAAAATATTTTTATCACTACATTATATTTTGCTGTCAAAGTATGTTTAGAAACTTATACTTATCTGTCTGTCTATCATTTATCCATCCGTCCAGCCATTATTTTTTCAATTTCCTGAGCCAGGAAGGTCCAAAATTGCTTTGGAATACACATCACAGTTATTATTAGTTCATAGCTCACACAGATAGCACAAACTCTGATATGCACCTAGATATGTATCACACGGAAAGGAAATGCTATGGGCTATAGCTCAGGGACGGGGCTAGGGAGGCTGCATGGCTGCGTGGCTGCTGGGTGGCTGCCCGAGGCTGCATCAGAGACCCAGGCCGCTCTGGGGAACCCACTGCAGGCAGGGGGAGAAGAGTGGGAAGGGGCAGCAGCGAGGCCCCGGCTCCAGCTCAGGCATCTCCAGGCCCAGCATGCCGGAAGGGGGACCCAGGAGACCCTTCAGACTCCCCCTGGGATGTCTCCGTGTGGCCCCTGCAGGAGTGCTGTGCACTGAGAGTTGGACCACCAATTTCCAGAGGAACGGCCGTTGGCCTCCTTGCCTGGCTGCAAACTTGAGCACCCTGCAATGCCATCCAGGCAGGGCTGTGACTCCAAAACACTGGGTGCAGCTGTACTTGGAGATCATTTCTACTCTGGACCCTTCACTCCACTGCCTCATCCTCCCTAGGGGATGAAACTGGAACACAACGGCTCCTCACTCTAAGCCACTCCAAACCACACATTCTGAATTTCTTCCACACGGTTTTTCACTCAGCTATAATTTCAGCATGCACCAGCACCCATAATAGTGT